ATTTTTTGAGAAGGTTTTTTCTCTGACTCGTTTGTTAAAGGATGTTTTTTAAACAACCACCAAAATCCCCCACCCACCTGGTTGGGTGGGGGAATTCTGGGAGTTGAAGTCCATACATCTTCAAACGGCCAAGGTTGAGAAACACTGCTTTAAAATAATGATTCACTCTTCCGTTTCCTAACCTGTCTTCTTTCAACTCTTGCACTGCTTCCCCAGAATGTGTGCTGGTTTTTGGCAAATTTATCAGTGAAGCAGATAAAATCTGGGGCGGATTTGGTGCAAGCATTCCAGGGACAGACTATAAATTAAATGACCATTAAGTGCATCAAATTTGTCAAGGCCTTTCTCCCACTCCAAAGCATGCTGGTGTACGTGGCAGAGGGGGGTACTCAGCTTCCACACTTCCTTTCAACTCACACCTTAAGGGCCAACGTAAGCGTGAAACGGGAGCCGTTGTGTTTGGACCCAGAGCGGCCCGAATGATGGAAAAGGATGAAATCTAGAGATTCCTATCTGAAAAAGCAAAATGGATGAGTGACTGAGGAACGCAGGCCTTTCTTGTTGCTTCAGGAACATGTCCTCTCTCCAGATCACTCTTTTCAAAGGCTTCAGGGCAGAATGAAACAGCCCCGAAATTGTGTAGCTAGGATGCAAATAGATTGACCCCTTGGTGTCATCCTCACACACACACACACACAGATTTGATGGAGTCACAGAGGTTGATGTACAGAAAACAAACCCCCCCAAAAACACTGCACCAAATCTATCCAATTACATGGGCAAACAAGACATTTAAAATAACATTATTCTCTGCCCCCCTCCATAAACACATCCTGATTGTAATAAATCCTTATTATAGCACCCGCCTGCTAATCTAGACATCTACAAGAAGATGATGTAGGAGGGAAAGGAATTAGTTGGGAGGGGGGAAAGGAGAGAGATTAAAAACAGCCAGCGCTCGGCTCCCCCTGGCTAAAGAGAAAATGTTCCAGATTTTGCTGGAATTTGGTTAGCTGACCCTCTCTACGCAGGTCGTGCCCTCAACTGGAAACGGGGTACCGTGTGCCCCTATATACCTCTCAGTTGGGGGAAAGGACAAACTGCAAAGGTCTTGTGGCTTAGCTGGCGAGCGCATGGTTTCGGCAGATGTGGCACGTGAACAGCTGGAGCATGCAAGTTCCTGATGCCTATGGAGGTCAAGGAAGGTGAACAGCCCTCTGAGCAATGCTCAAAAATGTGAGGATGATTTAATTGGAAGATACAGCCCACATCTACTGACTCTGAACAGAGATGGCTTCTTAGCGCAGGCAGATCCTGCCAAACCTTGTCTCAGAGCTCAACAGGGCCTCCCGCCAAACCTCTTTAGCACATCACTTTTAGCCTTTGCATCAGGTCATTGGGCGACAGGCAGACCCCAAAAGCCAGACTCGTCCCCAAAGTCTAATGTTTATCAGGACCCAAAGGGAGTAACCATATTCCTTGACTAAAGTTTGTTTTAATTCTAAGTAAACATAAATTAAGATATGCTTAGTCTTTGGGTGAGGCCCCAACAAGAGTTTTGCTGGCTCAAAAAAAAAGGGGGCCCCTCAAAATACTCTGAGAGAAAACCTGTTTAAAACACAAACATTTGGAGAGAAAAAGATGCTTACCAAGAATGCCCACCACCCCCCCTCTGAATTTTCAGGTAGATTTAAACAACCACAGGATCACAGGTTAACATGGAACAGACTTGCATATGAATATCTGTGAAAGTTAGACTTGAAAACCAAACAGTTCGTGGGATAAAGTAAAAAAAGTAAGTGAGTCTCCTTTGATTCGAGCTCAGATCACATCAGCTGGGGGCTTCATGGCTCCATCCATACAGTTTTCTTGGCAAGACGTTAGAGTTATATTTTGGGGGGGGGGATTTCTTTACAACTTCCTAATCTAGACGACAGCCCTGGGATTTTCTAGTGGTCTCCCATCCAGGTACTGAACAGGTCTGACCCTTCCCAACCCTTACTAGGTTGGGCAGATGTTGCCTACAGCCTGAGTAAAAGAGGCTTAAGAAAATTAAACAGCACCACAAATAAGCCATTAAAAAAAAAAAGGAAGATCTTTTCGGTGAGTTGCCGTATGCTAAATACCGATCTGCAAAGGGGGAAGGTTGAGTCAAGGTGGGGGGGAAGAATTTGGTTCCTGGCATGGAGCCAAGGGTGCCTCTGGTCCAGGGAGAAACAGATCTGACAGTTTTGTTCGTAATGCGAATCCTAAATCAAAGATTTTCTGAACTGCCTTCACTTTCCCCCTTACTTCTCTAGTCCCCGCCAACCCTAATCTCTACAAAAAGATTCCAAGCCTTCTGAATGTGCCATTTTTATTTATCTACTTTCTGGCCTCACTTCCAGGCTGCCAACTTCACCCCAAATTGCTGCGACATTATGCCAAGCCCAAACCAAATTGCATCCGTGTGGCACGCTCACCCCTGGTGAACTTAGCCATGATTCCTTGATGAACCCCAGTTCTAGGTTCCCACAACCGGCAAGCCATTCACTAAGTGCAGTTTTGTGCCACGTGCCAGGCTAAACTGGGGTAGAGTGGTTCTTGTTCTGAGCCCAGCTTTCCGCAATGTGGTTTATAAGAGAAGCCCAGCCCCGATTCCAAAAACCTGGTTCAAAACACACCACAGCTTAACACAGACCATAAACCCAGCCTATAACTGAGACTTCACCAGCTGCTTAACAGGCAAACCTCAGCAAGCGACAGTGAATGTCCATCTTGGCTTCTTCGTGTCTGCACGGTGCATGGAGAGCTCTTTGCAAAGGCACAAGAACAGCTCTTGGGGGTCAGTTGGCAGCTTGTGCCCGATCGCTTATCGCTTTGGGGTCAGTTGGCCACTTGCGCTTACCCAGAAGATAACCGAAGCCAACCCTTGAGGAATTTCGGAGAGGCAACTCTCTCCGCCTGGCTCACACACAGTCTGTCCCCGATTGCTTCGCGGGTTTTATCTGTCAAATACACTTGAAATCTAATCTGGAGATAAGAGGGGGAAAGATTCTCCAAGTCTGGTGTTGCATTTTTAGAGGAAACCGTTACAGATTTCACATCCATCAGCCGCAGGGAATAAGGTCGGCTTTACTGCCAGCTCTGTGCGGCACATCAGAACGGCACCACGGTTCGCAACAGCAGCAAACAAGGGTAGCGTCCAGGCCCTGCTCTTCTGGCACGTGAGAACATGGGATGGAAACGAAATGCAACCCCAACCGGACAGAATCATCTCAGCAACCTGGAACGCTGATGCCAAATTGATTTGAATTGATCCCTACCCCCGGTATGCCGCGCGCAACGTTTGCATTGATATACTCTTTTGATTTATGAGCTACTGTCTCGTGCAGACTGAGCAGTCAAGCCCGTGCCCGTCTTGAAACTGACCCATGCAGGCACAAGTACAAACACGGGCAAGAGAAAGCCAAATAGAGGAATAATAATAATGAAGCCATTGACCTTTCAAGACCAGGCTAAAGAGAAGGATCTTCATAGACCTTCTCAAGGCAGAGAATCTGGAGACCAAGGTCACCTCTGCAGGGAGTGAATCTTCACCAGGGCCTTTTCTGCAGATCTAAATGATCGGGCAATTTCATAATAGCCCTTGATTCACCAGCAAGGGCTGCCTTGGGACTGAGAACAGGATTTTCTCAGCCCCGTTTCCAGGTTCAGATTTAGGTTTTCGCCTGGCCCTCCGCTACCCTAGGACAACAAGGGGGCAAAGAGACCATTTTCCTGCAGCTTCACATCCACGCTGGAAAATTTCCACCAAGATTTTTATTAACAACTCTGGATCAGATGAATGTCTGAAGGAGGCCGTGTGCGTCTCTCTTCCCCGCCTGTGTGTCCTTCCGTGGCCGTTTCTTTAATTAAAAAAATAAAAGGAAAAACTAAGGAAATAGGAGAACAGCGGAGAAGAAGGGGAGGGTCAAGCTGGGGGAATGGAACCAGGTTATTTGCAGGACAGCCTAACTCTGATTGACTCCGTCTGCCCCACTAAGTTGCAGAGGATGGCCAAGCTCTAGGTCCCATCTTGGAGGCCGTGTCATTTAAAGGGAGCGAGGAACCACGTCTTCTCTGTTGCTGTGCCTGCCCTTGGAGTAAGTTCCCCACCTAACCCTGACCCTATTAGCCCTTCACACAACCATGAAGACCTGGGTCTTCTCCATGCGTTGGGCCACGTGGGAAAGGGAGCCTGTGTCCTTCCGGGCCTCAGCTACGGTTGTAATGCTTGGTTTGGTGATGTTGGTTTTACATGGGTTCAATGCTGGTTGTTATTTGGTTTGCATTGACATACCCCGGCCTGAGTTGTACATCAGGGGGTGGGCAGCCTTAAGCATTTTTACAAATTATTATTAGCCTTAACGTTTGTAGGTCGCCCAACTCCCAATGATGCTCAAATAAAACAATTAAAAAATAAATAAATACAAGAGGCAACAATGAAAGAACAGAAGATAGCAAAAATGTCCAGGGATGGACAGGAACAGAAAAGAAATAAGCCCGCCAACCCAATTCCACCCTCGCCAAAGGCCTGGGAGGAGAACCAGCGCTGGGCACAAACAAAAACACGGATAAATAAATAAGTATGTCACTGAATACAGTCCCGCCTTGGATTCCTGACATCCTTTTTCCCTTCCCCAAAGTCAGCAGCAATATTTCAAAAGCAGCGGAGCTCCTTGGGACGGAGAGAGGGGGGACGAGTTGGGGAAGGTCACGCCAGGTAAATGGCTGGGGGGGGTAGGAAAAACATTTTCCTTCTGATGGGCTTCATTGCTGTGCCCTTCCTCTGCCCCACGGCTTTGGCCTCGTGCTGGAATTCAGACCTCCCTTGAAATTCTGGGGATCTTTCAGCAGCAGTTCCAACCGCCGGGATTGGAAGGAGGGGGTTACCTGAAGATCTTGTAGAGGGGCAGGGAAAGCGGTGATCCTTGTCCTTTGCTGATTCCCTCGTCCAGTTAAAAATCTCCTTCCGATGCTGCCGTTTACATTGGAAGAAAGCATCCAATTTGCAGCTTCTTCCCTAAGAACGTGGATAGCAGCGTTAAAGAAGAAGAATAGTTCACCTCCTTGCACCATTCATCTTATTTATTTATGTCCTGTCTTTCATTTGGACACTCAAGGCAGCACGTGGGGTGTTCCCGCCTTCCGTTCCTCTGCACAACAACCCTGTGAGGTAGGTTGGGCCAAGAGAGGAAGATGTCTTCTGATCCTGGCCACACCCTAGCCTAGCTCAGGGAATATTTATCTATCGCTATCCTCATCCCCACCTTCAACATTATTATTAATCCTATTTGTAAACCACTGAGCCAATGCAGACCCTTGGCAATTTACAAAGAACAGAAACTTCTGCAGCAGTCCAAAAGTGCACTGTAAATATAAATCAATCAGAGCCACGGATAAAGAATCCAAGTTACGACAATACAGGGATAGATGGCAATTGGGGGAACCAGAAACACATAAAGCAAATCATAACCAAACCAAGCAGAGCCACATCAACAAATCAAACAATCTGCGCCCTTAAAATGGAAAAGACGGTGCTGAGAAACGATTCAACCTGATACTCTTTGGAAAAGTGTTCAATTCTGAGATTAACAGCACGCGTTGAAAACGGGCAGAGCTTAAAATGCTGAGCATCCCCCAATGGGCGCTCCTGAGTTTAATCCTCAGCATTTCTCCTGAGCAGGGTCACGCTCTGCCCACGGTGCGTGAGAAGGCGTCTTGATGTCCTCCAGATGGTTTGGACTTCCAACTCTCGTCCGACACAGCTGTTGCAAGGAACTGTGGGAATTGTAGTCCCAACACAACTGGAAGGCATTAAATCGGGGAAGGGGACGTTAGCCATCCTGCATTTGCCGCATAACCTAAGAAAATTATCTTTGCTTTCATTACTCTGCCCCGTTAGTGCCAAGGATGGGTGGCACTTCTGAGTGCTGAATGCCAGGGGTCTATGGATGTGTGTGTGTGTGTGCGTGTGTGTGTATCTCTTTATTAAAATTTAAAAAAAAGAAAGGTAAAAACTAATAACTAATATTTGGAATAAAGAAAAGAGAGAAAAAAAGAGAGAACAAGACAAAGCTATGAAGGCGGGATAAAAACAGTTTTTTACCGCAGTTATAGGTATAGATGTAAATTAACCTCTTACTCCATGACTTATTATTTTTTTATTAGCATGACTTACATTTTTTCGGTAATCTATTTTTTTTCTAATCATCAAAACTATATCTCATAATTTCATGTTTTTTCTGTTTCATGCCAAAAGTCGATAAGTGGTTTCCAGTCAACATTAAACTTAGAGAATGTCTTTTCTCTGATCAAAGCTGTCACTTTGGCCATCTCAGCAAGTTCCATCATCTTCACCATCCATTCCTCCGTGGTGGGTAATGTCCCAGATGCCAGGTTTTTGAGGATCCTGGGAAGTTTGCACCCAGGCTCCAGCCTGACCCCACAGGCTGGGTACCTGTTATCACCCAGGGCGGAAGTGAGGCCAAAATGATTCCTGGGAATCTACAAATGCCCTTTGATCCTCTGGTTGGACCGTTCACTGCCCTCCAGCGTGAAATATTTCCACCTCCCAAAGTGGTGGGAAATTAACAGGGAAGCAGGGAAGCTGAAAGATTAACAGGAGGACATTCCAAGCTGGAACAATCCAGCAGTCAGCAATGTAAACTGGCAATGTAAGTAAGATCGATAGCTCAGGAAGGACCCTGAGAATCCATATAATGATTCACAATTGCTTGGGCAGAGAATTTAGGAGGGGGCTTAGCTAGAAAGAGGTGAGGAAGGGTAACAGTGTTATGGGGTGTCCCAATTCCTCATGAGAGCAGAGACTTCTGACTTCTTCAGTTTGGGGGTGAAACATCAGGGCTGAAAGTAGGGAGAAAGCGCCAAACTCTGCTAGGGTAGTCAGCGCTCACCCCAATGAAACTCGCCTGGTGCCTACCTTGCTATTTTTCCAGAATCAAGTGAAGCCATTCTTCTCTTTTGACACTTTTTCAATATCCGCTAAGATTTCCCCGACCCCAACGCATTGGACAGGCGCATGGAGTGTGCTGGCTGGGGAATTCGTGGAGCTGAAGTCCAAGCATCTTAAAGTTGCCAAGCTGGAAAAGACTGGCATAGAGTCTCTGGCCCCGGATTTGTTCAGGCTGATGGGACTTGTAGTCCTGACGTAGGAGGCAGGTTTAAACCCTAGAAGCATTTGGCATTATTCTTGCGCTGAGGATTGTGTTTATTGCAGGTGTTGTGTTATTTGTTTGCTTCATCCCGGTCTTATTATTTCGGTCTTATGTAATCCTGTGTGGGGATTTCCCCCCCCCCAAAATGAGGTGAGGGGGAGGGAATAGCAACCATGCTGCAGTAAAGAGAGGTAAAAAGAGATTAGGGATAAAATGTAGACCGCGCTTGCAAGCTCATAAAGAGAATAAAAATAATTGGCAGGGGACGGGAAGGCGGTGATTTCTGCTGAACAGAACATCCTGAGAAACGTACTGGATGCAATTGGACCAAGATTCACCCGCAGCCTCCAGATCTCCTTCTCCAGGCTTTAGAGAAGGGTGTAGGCCTTGGGGCTGGTGTAGAAACTCCCAGGTGTGCAAAAATTGCAGGGGGGGGTGTGTGTGTTGGAGGTGGGGGTGGGATTGAGACCACCAAGGAGGACGAAAGAAATCAGGGGCGACTCGGCACGAGCTAGGCTCCTGTTCTTATGGACGGCATGCCTTCTCCCTGGAGGTACAGATGACCCCCATCCTTGCAGGGATTTAGCAAACGAGCCAAGCCAGTTTGGCCCCGGTGTGCCTTTAGACCGGATCAGCTCCGTGTTGCGAGCGCCGATGAGGTTTATGAATGGTTCTCAGTGGTATGACTTTAACGGTTTCCACTCTTTCTGTAAGACCAGAAACTGGTTTTATCTTATGTGCTTGGGGTTTTTTTTGTTTTTTTTTAGTACTCCCCCAGAGTTCATTATGATTGGGGCAAATGACAAATATTGTAACACAAATACCTCCCCCCCCTGGTCTTTAAATATAGGGATGCCATTCTATGCTTTATTTTGCTTTTTCTTTGTTATAGTTGATTGGATCATAACTGTCATAAACTCAACAAACCCTTGAGCAGAGCTTCAACAATATTAGACTCAATATAAATTAACATAACTTTACATTCTCCTAGTGTTTTACAAAGTACTTCTAGTACTTCTTACGTCTTTATCTACAGCAGCGTTTCTCAACCTTGGCATCTTTAAGATGCGTGGACTTCAATTCCCAGCATTCCCCAGCCAGCCATCTTAAAGTTGCCAAGGTTGAGAAACGCTGATCTATAGTTATCTATCTTAATTATCTATAGCCTACAGGCTATCGATTGTAATTTTATACATCTCTCCCAGGTTTTAATCCCTGTACTTTGTAGTTTTATGTTAATCCTTTTATTTTTACTTTGTTCTATCAATGCAATTAAAAAAAAAAATTTACTGCTATTTTGGAGTGACTGTTATTCGTTTTAAGCTGGTCGACGACGGAACTAAACAAAAAGAACCACAGAATTAATGTGACTATTGTCATTGTTATGGAACGCTATGGAGTCCCCCCAGGATGGCATGGAACATCTGCACAGGAGCAGGCCTGGCTGCTGGATCCCCAAATGAGAAGGCATGCACCATAATCTTTTGCCATACGGCATCTTGCAGGAGTTAAAAGCAAGACTTTTATCATCTTCCCCCATAAATTGGCCTAAAACCTTTGTAAAACCTGCTCAGACGGTTACGTGATTTCACGCTGATAAGTGATAGGAATGAATTAGAGCCTCTGTGAACAAGTCCTTCTGGGGAATATCTCAGGCTTGCAAAGAATTACTTGCCAGTTTATCCAGAGCGATTAAAAATGGCTGGTGGAAACAGCAGTCTGGCGCTACCCAGCAATTGCGCTAAATGTGGAAATAAAATGAGCACTGAGGACTAGAATCTTGTACCGATTTGTCTGCCCACCTCGGATGCCTAGAGAAGGAGCAAGGGCTGCAACGGGATGGTGTTTTGATCTTTGGAGGAGTGCTGCTTCTTAGTGCTCCCCCCGAACAACCCCAAGGCCTTCTTGCTGGGGAGTTTCCTCTTCTCTTACCCCCAGTTTGAACCGCCCCCCCACCCTTTGCCAATGTCAAGCGGTTGCAGGGGAGAGCATTGGGGGAGGGCAATATAAACTGCTCAGAGGAAGAGAGCAATTAATCTTGTTGAGGAGCGTGGCTGCCACCACGTGAATCCCGTCACCCAAATTACATTTTAACTTGTCTCATAAATCTCCTTAAACTCCCCTTCGCACAACCAGCTGTGCCAGCAGACGCGCTGGAAGTAGCCTTGAGACTCGGGGGACCAAGGGTGGGATGGCACCAAGGGGCCCAGTTGCCCATTCCCCTTTGCAGAGCAGAGGGCCAAAGGAAGAGGATGGGCATTTGATGTCCAGCTGGGAAGGTGGGACATGGAGAAGAGACCAACTTGGGCTATGATCATTCACAGAACCAGCTGCTAACTCCTCATGCGCTGGACGCTCTCCAGCTCAGGTAATTAAAACCTGGCGCCTTTCATCTCCATTGCGCACTGGGAATGTGTGCTTCGCGGGCTCCCTGTGCAGCTCAGGTATGAATACGAGCTGGCATGCCCTACCCGGGCTGGCACGTCCCCTTGATAAAAAGAGAACTTGAATTTCCATCCACCACAGAGGTAGCTGGGTCTCAGGCAGATGGGGGGCGTGGGGGGCATTCAAGCACAGGAGCCCCCCACTAGAAACCCTCCTTGCTCTTCGACAGCTTTCCCCGGCACTGGGAGTTCTGGGAGCCGAACTCTGCCACGCCTGGTAGAAACCAAGGCATTTCCTGAAATAGAAAGGTGCGCCTCCCCCTCCGTGGCTTCGACCCCTGTGGCGTGGTGGTTCTACACCTGCCCTTCCTGCCAGGAGTTCAGGTCGGGGCACATCAGTCTGTGACTTGGCAGGAACGCAGGGCCTGGCCCCTGAGAAGTTGGCATGGTTGGACTGGAGC